CACACACACACACACACACACACCCTGCTGCCTTGTCTTTGGGGAAGTAGAACAGGAAGTGCCTCAGCCATAGTTTCCCTATTGAGAATGCAATAACCAGAATTTCTGCCAGTGTTTACAAACCAAGCAACTTGTCCCTCCTGGCTCTGAACAGGTTAAACATCAGCTACTCCATCCCCTCCCCTGAAAGTCCTTGGCTTATCAGGCTAAGGGAAAAAATTCCTAAGGGGGGACAGAGAGGAAACAAGAGCCAGAGTAGCAAGAATTGCTGGAAAAGCAGGAGCAGGCTTTGCAGGGAGTCCGTCCCTCTTTACCTTGCCTTACCATCCACCCTGAAAATGTTTGAACAAGTCCAGACCTTTCTGCGCCACATCCAGGACTTCAAGCGTAAATATCCACCTCCTGGTACTTTTGTTTTGGAGTTGGTTGTGGGGTTGAGGGGAGGAGTTTCACCATGAAATAAAGGGAAGAAAGGGGGTTATGCCTCTCCTTCCAAACGGGTAACAAAGGATCTCCTTAGTTATCAGGGGTGAGATTGCGATCTTAGGGGGGAGAGGGACTTGTTTATAAGGCAGATTTTGTGTGCCAGTTTCATCATGTTTTGTTTAAATTGGGAAGGTAGGTGCAGGAGGCAGAGGTGATGTCTGTCAACAAAGAGAATGGCAGCTACTTCAGGTGGCTTGAAAGCATGGCGATTGTTCTAGTTTGGGCTACTTAAATTTGGGGAGTTGGAATGAGGTTATACAGGTTACATGGATGAACAAAGTGTTTTAAAGTGTGAAGGTGCTGAAATATCTTTCAGGAGACGAGAGGAATGTGAATTGGGATCTGGTGGTAAATCTCTTGTGTGGTTTGTTATCGCTCACCAGGGGCTTCTGGTTGCTTAGTAGGAAAAACAAAAATTAACAACCCAACACCCACCCACCCCAAAAATTAGGCTGCTAACGTGAGGAAAATCAGGAGTGGGTTTTTATGTGAGAGAAATGGGCAGAGGAGCTGAAAAGGCACCCTGTTCTTTGATTCTAAGCGTAGAATTCTCTTCTACCCCTCCCATCTTGCACCTGACTCCCGTTGCTAGATCTTAGTGTTCAAGAAAAACAAAACAAAATAGATCTTGCATGTTTGAATTTTGTACACCCCCCTCAATACTATGTGGGGGGTGGAAGAAGGGTTAAAGGTGTTAGGGGACACCCCCCCCTCGGAAGAAAGAATATTTTGCTCTTCAGGCCAGAGCTGTTTGGAAGGTGTGGCTTAGAACTGTGTGATTTGTGTAGAATTTCTTACTACACCTACCTGAACATTAAATGTACTTTGCAGAGTGGACCATAGGTTTGATTTAAACTTAAGTCTCTAACGTGCCAATTTAAAAATTTTCATGCAGAGTGTTTTCTGGGCTAGAAAACTATTGAAAGTGTCACCAGTACAGTTGAAAACATAGTTGAAATTATTCTGGAGAATCTTGTTGGGTTATATACTAAAAAAAGGAGTGGGTGAATAAGTGAATGCTATGGGGTGTTCGTACACATGTACAACCTAAGGATATGTGTGTGTCTGCTTGTGAGACGGAACCCTGTGTTGGCATGTGGTTGTGTGAGAAGGTTCGCTCCCCCTCCAGGGCCGCAGCTGAGTTAACAGTTCAGTTCTTCCAGGTGGCCTGGCAGAAAATACACCTGACTGCTGGGGCACCTGCATTATCTGGGACCAGGAAGTCCCCTTTTTTTTGGATATGCTTGTTTTCCTTTTAGGTTCTTGGCATTCTGGGGAAAGAGAAAAGAGCCAAACTGCCCCAAGTGATAGAGGTGCAAAGAGAGTATTCAGACAGCAACAGAACTGAGCATTCCTTCTACCCACCTCCCCAATATCACAGGAGAGCAGAGTGTCAAACAGCAAAGGAAACTGTGGGGGTAGATTAGACTAGGAGAAGAAAGTTGCATAGAGCTTAATCCCAGGGCATGTGGTTATGGGCCGGCATCCAGAAAACACAGTTCAAGGAGCACCCTTTTTTTTCCTGTGCAAGCTTGAGTGGGTGGGTGGTGGGGATTTTTAAAGAAAAGCACGATTGGCAACGCACATTAACTGACGTGGGAAGAGATTTCTGAATGATAATTAGAGTGCTTGAAAGCGCATGGGATGCTGGCCTTACCCTTCCCAGTAGAGTTTGTTCAGGAGAACCTTCTGCTGAATGGTACTTGCTGCTTGGGTTTCTCACTTCTGGCCAGATTCCTGAGGAGGGGAAACCATGTGTTCTGTTCTAGTGAGGCTGAGAGCGCAGGGCGAGGGCCAGCAAAGGATGCTTTCAGCAGAGACAACAGAAGCAAGTGGAACCACCTCAGGCTTGAGCTCTGTGGAGTAGGACTGGCTCTGGGCATTTTGCTGCCTGGGTGAATGACAAAAGGATAGAAGTAGACTAGTCTGGACTGGCAGCGAGTCCTGGATCTGAAATGCTGGGATGAAATAGTATTCTATTAATCTACCCATTGTCTCCTTCCAGCCAGCTCTCTGTTGCCCCATCAGGAGGAGGGCCCTTCTCATCCAGAAGATGGTGGGCTCTTAGCAAGGCTGTCTCATACCGATGTTGGGGGCATCTTCCGGCAGGCAGGGAGCCGGGTGCGAATGAGAGTGCGGAATCGCAAGGATATAGGTAAGTGACCATGGGAGCATTTCATGGAAAAGATGGGTAGGGGCATCAAAGTGTGTGAATCAAAGAAACCCAAGTGAGATGGGAGTGAAGGAAATCGCAGGCAATGGCAAGGCATGGGGTATCCTACTTTTGGGTGACCACGCCCAGAATCCCACCCCACAACACTGATGGCTGGAAGATTTAAGAAGCCAGAGTCCAACAGGTTATTTTTCCAAGTTCATAATATTGGACAAGGAAGTAGAAGCCAAAGGCCTGAGGGAGGAGGGAGGGCAGGCCCTGGGGGACTGGACTGTGGGAAGAAACAGAGAAGGTGGGAGCAAGGGAGAGGCCCTCCTTCTCAGGCTGACTCTCCCCCCATTTGCTTCCAGGCATTTCCAGCGATTTGAACATGGCTGATATTGATGTGGGCGAATGTCCCCGGAGCCCCACCTACCGCCTCCCTCAGCCCCAGGTATTGAAATTCCCAAAATGGGACAGTTGGAGATCTTGGAGGGGGTACAGGAGGAGAGGTGCATGGATGTGTTAAGCAAGAGCAGGCCATGGAGGTGGAAGGAAGGGTGAGTCAGGGCTCCTCCCCAGCCAAGGGATAGCAGAGTACCCCTCATTTGCTCCATTCCTGAGGCTTCGTTCTTTTCCCCCTTTTCTGCCCCAAGACCTGCCAGACAACCCACCACCACCACCACCACCACTCACCCAGTGTCTCCAGCACATCTTATTTTCTCTCATCTAAAATGATCGCCACCTTCCCTGTCTTCGTATCTGCGGCACTCTTGTGGAACTCCTCAGTGAAGGAGAAATGTATAGGGGAAGCATCTCATCTGCCCAGAAGGCCTCATGAAGTTTTGGTTGGTGGAGCTGGAGCCTACAATTTGGAGATTATTTCTGGACAGGAAAATCTCTACAAATATTTCCAACAGGGAATGGTGGATCCAAAAGCTAGGTGTCAGAGAGCAGGGGAAAGAAGGGGGGGAAAGACAATGAAGTAAGACACATTTCTCAGTCAAGGATGTGAGAAGCATATGTTTTGTGCTGACTGGTAGTACTCAAATCTGGAGAGCAAGGTGTGTTTTTTTAATGTTTGACTCATTGTGGAGTACAGTGCAGTCTTCACCTAGAGATGTAGCAACACTGGCACCAAAATATCTTTTTGAAGCATTGTTAAGATTTAAAAAAAACTGGGATGCTTTCAACAGTTAAATTATGTTTCCCATGGGTGAACTGTTCTGAGAATTTTGTCTGGTGTTATTGTGTGTTGCTACATAGAATTTTGCAGCTGTCATTCAGTCATACAGAGAAAGCGGGGTAGAAATCCAGATACTGTATATACACTGATGAAGGATCTGTTCCTACACTGGGCACTTTTAAGAGTCAACTAAAAACATGGTTGTATGTTCAGGCCTTCCCTGCTGTCAATATTTAATTCTTTCTTTATTTTTTCTTTCATTTATTATTTGTTTTATTATTGTATGTGTTATGGACTGTTTGTAAAATTCTTATGTTTTATTGTATACACCTTATTGGAAGCCGCCCAGAGTGGTCGACCAGACCAGATGGGCGTGATATAAATCAAATAAATAAATAATAAATAAATAAAGCAGCAAATGGTTGCAGGAACCGTAGCCAGTTCTGCAATCAGTCATGGCCAATTTCTGGTCCTGGATTTTAGTTTCAATGTATTATCGAAGGCTTTCACGGCTGGGATCTGATGGTTGTTGCGGGTTTTCCAGGCTGTCTGGCTGTGTTCTTAATGTTTTTCTCCCTAACATTTTGCCAGTTTCTGTAGCTGGAGGACAGGAGTCAGAACTCTGTCTGTGCTCTGTTGCAGTTTGTTGGATAGTTGAGTATTTATAGTTGTGGGATCTGTTTTTGTCCTTTTCAGGAGATTGGGTGATTATGGTGATTATCATGTTTTTGTTGTGGGTGTATTGATGTGATAAGGGGGAGAGATTATCTGTCACTGTGATGGATAAGTGTCAACAGCCCGGAAAACCCACAACAACCATTTTAGTTTTGATTTCTAACTAATTGCAGAGAATACTTGTCCCTTTATTTGGGACCAGGAGTCTGAATATATCTCTTGGTCTCAACAGATTCATTGTTACTTAAAAATGATGCATCACAAGGAATTATCAATAACATACCGTTTCTAGGAGTAAAGAGAGTGTAATGCGATTCCTTCTGCTACAAAGTAACAATTGGCTACATCCTTCCTTCCTTCCTTTCTTCCACCCACCCACCCGTATAATGGAACTGGAAAAGGCGCAGAAGAGAGCTACTAAAAGGATTACTGGGCTGGGGCACCTCCCTTATGAGGAAAGGTTACAGTGTTTTGGGCTCTTTCGTCTAGAGGAAAGGCACCTTAGCGGGGACAGGATTGAGATGTATAAAATTATGCAGGGCATGGATAAAGTGGATAGAAGGAAGCTCGTTTCCCTCTCACGCGATACCAGAACCAGAGGACATCCACTCAAATTGAGTGTTGGGAAAGTCAGAACAGACAAAAGAAAAGATTTCCTTACCCCGTGTGCTGTTAGTCTGTGGAACTCCTTGCCACAGGATGTGGCAATGGCATCTGGCCTAGATGCCTTTAAAAGGGGACTGGACAGATTCCTGGAGGAAAAGTCCATTGCAAGTTACAAGCCATGATGGGGATGTATAATCTCCGGGCTTAAAAGGATGGTACCTCCAAATGCCTGATGCAGAGGAGGGGTATCAGGAGACAGGCATCTGGTTGTCTCGTGTGTTCCCAGAGGCATCTGGTGGGGACATACAGGGAGCTGGACTAGATGGGCCCTTGACCTGATCCAGCAGGACTCTTTTTACGTTCTTTGCCATTGCCAAATTATGTTACTTTTTCTTACATTTGCTACTTTCCTCATGTGCTTTTAGGGGACATTTTGAAATGATTCTTTTCAAATGTTAGCCTACTTTTTTATATAAAAAAGGAAATGTAAAAATGGCCTCCCCCCTGCAAAAAAAAACAAAAAACAAAACAAAAAACCAAAAAGATCTGGGAGTTGAAGTCACTTTCAGTATTCACTTTCTAAGCTCTACTGGTTACCATGACTGAATAAGACCTTTCCATTGGGTCTAAATCAGTGGTTCCCAACCTTGGGGCCTCAGATATTCTTCTACTGCAACTCCCAGAAGCCTTCACCTGTTGCTGTGCTGGCCAGGATTTCTGGGAGTTGAAGTCCAAGAACATCTGGGGTCCCAAAGTTGGAAATCACTGGCCTAAATTATGCTTCATGGTTTGTGTTTGGGTAGCAAACTGGCCCTGTTTTACTTTCAAAACAGGGAGTGATCGCTGTAAATTTCAGATATGGGTCAGATTTGGGTTTATGATAGAGGATGTCACTACAACTCAGGTTAAGCTCTGAGCATCTGGGATCACCAAAAGATGTGGTGAAAATTCTGGAGGAGAGCTTCACACGTGGACACTAAATCAGGTGGTGACCTTCCCTGTGTCCATCCAACAGAAAAGCAAAGTGTGCTGCTTATATACAGTGGTGCCCCGCATAGCGACATTAATCCGTTCCAGGAAAAACGTTGCTATCCGGAAACATGGCTATACGGACAGAAAAACCGCATAGGAACGCATTAAACTCAGTTTAATGCGTTCCTGTGGGGGTAAACTCACCGCTAAGCGGGAATCCTCCATAGGGTCACCATTTTCACTGCCTCGGTAAGTGAGGAATCAGTGCGAAAACGCTGCGGGCGGCCATTTTCTTGATGCAGCAGCCATTTTGGAACCGCCGATCAGCTGTGCGAAAATGGGGCCTTTGGGAGGACCGCAGGGGAGGGCTCCCCTGCGGTCCTCTCAAAGCCCCCACCAGCATTTTCGCCCAGCTGACTGGGGGGTGCTTGGGAAGGAGCGTGGGGGAGGACTCCCCCGCACTCCTTCCGAAGCGCCTGCCGGCATTTTCCCCAGCTGACCGGCAGGAGCTTCGGAAGGACCACAGTGGAGCCCTCCCCCATGGTCCTTCTGAAGCCCCCGCCGGTCAGCTGGGGGAAAATGGGGCTTATGGGGAAATATTGCAAAGCAATTTTTCCCTGGGGGGTGCTTGGGAAGGAGCGTGGGGGAGGACTCCCCCGCACTCCTTCCGAAGCGCCTGCCGGCATTTTCCCCAGCTGACCGGCAGGAGCTTCGGAAGGACCACAGTGGAGCCCTCCCCCATGGTCCTTCTGAAGCCCCCGCCGGTCAGCTGGGGGAAAATGGGGCTTATGGGGAAATATTGCAAAGCAATTTTTCCCCATAGGGAACATCGCAATGCGATCGCAAAATCCGCATCGCTATGCGGATTCGTCGTTAAACAGGGCGCCCGTTAAGCGAGGCACCACTTTACCACCCCATAGTGCTTAAAGCACTCTCTGAGTGATTTACAAGTTAATTATGCAGGCTACACAAAGCTTGAGTCAGCTACCTGGGATTGAACCCCAGGTTGTGAGCAGAGTTTGGCTGCAGTACAGCCGTTTAACTGCAACACCATAACACCATGAGGCTCCTTGTCTCCCTCCACCAGTGAAGATCTCGTGCTTTGGACAGAACCTTCATATCACCTGACATTCTCCAACGGCACTGCTTTCCAATGTATTTGGTTCACATGTTCAGCTGAGGTTCATCTAGTGACATATGTGAAGGTCTCAGCTGATCCTTAAGATGGCTTTATGAAAATATTTGTTCAAGGAAGAGCTATCATGTGCCATGTGGAAATGTAGTTTTTCATTATAGTTACATGCCATCTTTCTTCCAAGGAGTCCATGCCTTTTTTTGTCCCACTCTCTGTCCTTACAACAACACTGTGAGGTAAGTGAGGCCAAGAAAGGGTGCCCATCCAGAGGCCATCCAGTGTTTTTGATGGCTTAGCAAGGACCTGAGGCCTCCCAAGTCCCAGTACAACACCTCTACCCTACACTGAATGGAGCCTCGTGATCTAGGGCAGGGTATCTCTGAGCACCAGATGCACACAGCAGATGATCATCAGTGGCCACTACCATCTAGCTTTGCTCATAAAGCATAAGCGTCAGTGGCTTCCAGTGTTTGGGAGCATTTGCTGAACTAGATAGTTCTTTGGGTTCTACCCCCCTGGAAAATGAAGAGGATTCTCCCCACCCCCCCACCCCCCACACACACATCCTTTATTCCCAAATTTGTGGTCTCTCTCCCCAGGAGCCAGATCAGTATTCTGTGGAGCTGGTCCGAGGACCTCATGGCTTCGGCTTTAGCCTGAGAGGAGGAAGTGAATACAATATGGACATCTACGTCTTGGCTCTCATGGAGGGTGGACCAGCCGAGCAATGTGGCAAGATCCAGGTACATGATGCTGCCAGGAAATTCGTCTTGGAATGGGACCCACCAGATGCTGCGAGTTAGAAGTGAGGTGACCTGAGTGGCTCCTTGAATGGGAGACCACTTTGGGACCCTAGGCAGGAGAGTGAAGGAAATGGTTAGGTGGATTCTGGGTTCTAGCCAGACTAGAAGCAGAATATTGCAAAAAGTGCATTGGTTTATTTTTCACACTCTTAGACACTGCGTTTGTTGTGTTGTGTAATTCTAAAAAGGAGGGCTGTGGGATGTGTGGCCCTCTGGCTGTTATCCAACTGCTTCCCATCAGCTCAGCCAGTAGGACCAGCAGCAGAAGGAAGCTTACTGGAACTTCCAGTCCAACAACAGCTGGGGGATCACCCGTTTCCAATCCCTGTGCCAAAGGACACAAGATCCAGGCTGGCTGTCAGCTCCAAAGCTCAACATTTCATTGCTCTCACATCCAGTATTTGGTAAAAGAAAGTGGGTTTTTTAAAAGCCTCTTAGGGCCTCCCCAACTAACACCAGCTCTAAGGTATTATAAACCCTTAGAGCAAAGGTGAACAACTTTGGCAGATTGGGGGGGGTGTTACTTTCCTGTCCTGGAGCCCCCTGGGAGCCACTCAAGACCATTAAAATTGCCTGCCCACCTAAATGAAATTATAGTTGGCTAGAACTTCACTGCTATTTTTTGAAAAAATGGATGAAAAATCTGAGAAAATGCTAAAACGTATTTAAAAGGTGAATCATCACTCCTTGAGACTTCCAGGAACATGCAATTCATTTGTTTTGTCTGAAAGACAAAAGGAGACTAGGGAAGGGCTGCCCCCCCCCAACAGTCTTGGAGGGCAGCTACCTTGGAAATGAGGGCAGGCCAATGCCTTCAACCCTGTCCGTTTCCACTATCACTTTCCATCGGACACCTTCAGCCCTGCCGCCCAACCATAGGTAGGCTTTAGATTTAATTCTCATGGGCACACGATCTAGCCAAAGAAAAGTGGGGTAAAATATTTTAAATAAATTAGTTCATTAAATAAAGTTCATGAGACCCTTTTTAATTTTCTTCCTTAAAGCAGAAATCAAAGAAATAAGAGATTATATAGTATTCCAGGATTTCAATTTAGCCATGATAGTACCTCTGGTTTTCCTGAAACAAAACGCAGCAGCACAGTTAGGAAATTCTGTAACTGGCACTCAGTGTGACCCAGGAGTAACCTCTCCAGACAGTGAGACAGGTTACTTTTTAAAAAGCTGTTCTCTCTGTATCCTCAGCTTTCTGTAGCTCCTGGAAAGTCACAGAATTGTGAAGCATACAGGTTCTCTTATAAGTGAATGTGCTAGCTTTTTAGTCAATCCCCTGCTTGGAGATCACTATTTTACTTTTCCAAGGCTTCAGTTTGCTTTGAAATTGCTGGACACTTCTGGTGTTTGGATGTGTATGTTGATGTCTGTGAATGGGCAGGTGGTCAGGTAAGCAGGCAGGATCATGCTTTTCTGCAGAGTGCATGTATATGGCTAGAAATGGGGTCCTAAGAAATACAACACTTTTTAGAAACCGCCATCTGATTCTAACATGGCCAGTTTTTTTTTTAGCCAGCCCCCCTAGCAGCTAGAATTGCAGTCATTTAACAGGCCTCATGATTCATCACCCTGCACGAAGAGCTTCATTTGCGACTTCCTGTAGGCCAAACTAACAAAGGCATGGCAGTAAGGAGGGTTGAATGTTTCTCTGCTCACTGCTGACCCTTTATGTATTCTTATTCTCTGACTAACTTGTCAGACTACAGAGCAGAAGAGACCCATGTCGCATCTTTATAAGAGACTGGCAACCAGGCCCCTCCAGATGTTGCTGGGCTGCAACTCTGATATATATACATATATCAGATATATATTACCATTGGCTGTGCTGGCGAGGGCTGATGGGGAGTGGTTGTAGACCTAAAAACATCTGGAGGGCTGTGTTTCCATCCCCAGCTCTACATTGTCTGGTGATACATTTGCAATAGGTAATCCTTACCTTAAGGTAACCTTAAGTGTTGTGCAGAGGAAAGAATTAAAACTTCTATATAGCTTCTTAAATTCCCAGCAGCATTGTGATGTGAGCAACAGCATCTGCCCAAATTCCTCTTTTTTTTGCAATTGTTTAGGGTCTGTAAATCTCAAGTGTACAGGAAAAATATGTGTTGCATGTATTACAACGCACATGTCTCTCTTTGTTTTATATTCCCTCTTTACTCCCAGAGAGGTGCTCAAGGCAGCTTTTGCTAAAATACATAATGAAAAGAAGTGACATATATGTCAATTACTTTTTAAAAAAGTAACATAATGTGTGTTTTGTTGTATAAAAACTCATAAAGGAGTTTTTTTTACAAAAATTAGAAGTGTAACAATAAAAGAGAAAGCTAGATTGAACTTCTTTCAGTAACAGACTAGTTTGCGTGCTAAAGGCTTTTCTGAAAAAGAGAGTTGTTTGCCTGGCAGTGGAAAAGGCAGCCAACCTCTTGCTAGGCAATTCAAAAAGCAAGTGGGGTAGGGGTGGGTGTGGGTGGGGAAGGACAGCTAGAAAGCCTTCCCTCACATCCCCACTAGACGGACTCTTCTCCTTTTATATATGTAAAAGCAAGTTTCTAGTCCTTACAGTTGAATGGGAAATTTTGAAAATATTGTGAAAACATGGTACAAATTTCATTTCCCTCCCCCCCAACAAAAACCTCTTGTGGGTGATATTCATCTGAAAACACTGTGGTGATAACAGGTGAGCGACCAGCTGGTAGAGATCAACGGGGAGCCGACGGCAGGAATGACCCATGCACAAGCTGTGGAGCACATTCGCAACGGGGGTAGCCGGATACGCCTGATGCTGAAGAGGGGCAATGGCTTTGTTCCCGACTATGGTATGCCCAAGCCTTTTCTCTCTTTTCAGTCCTTTCCCTCTGTTTTCTCCATGACAGAAATAGGAGAAGACTCAAGCCGACCCTTCCACTTATCCAGCACACACACACACACGCTCACAATGCAGCCCAGTGTGGGTGGGATGGCCCAGAGCCACTTCTTTTATTTATTTATTTTTATTTATTTTATTTATATCCCGCCTATCTGGTTGGGTCAGGACCACTCTTTCCGACGGCACTTGTTTTGCCCCCTGAAGCCGCATCTCAGCAACTCTTCCCCAACTCTCAACGCAGAGGGAGAGGAACAACCCATCATTAGGCGCCCTGTTGCAAGGGAGGTGGCGTGACATGTATCCATAAAATGTGCTGCTTATAGACCTTGTCACAAACATCTCCCTCAAACATGGACCCTCTGCAGCCCCTTCCCTTTGAAGGGTCTCTGCAGAGAGGCAGCTTCTGAATCCTCAATATTCATCCCTCTCTCCTCTTCTCTTTTCTTTCCTGCCCTGTCGTCCTTCGTCTGTCTGACCCTCCATATGCCACGCCAACCCACCCGCGGTGCTGTCTGACCTCCCCACCCACCCCTTTCTCACCACCTACTCTGTGGCAACCTTGTCTTAACCTTCCTCGTCTGCTTTACCTTTCTGATCTGTGGTGGCTTCCTCCTCTACCCCTTCCTGGTCTGTGCTGGCCTTGTAACTCCCCTTTTGCTTCCCCCCCCCAAGTCTCCATCTGTCTCCGCCCCACAGGGCAGCCGCTGGCCAGTCTGGCTCTCTGCGTGACCAACTCCCCCCGGGGGGAGCCCTGCTTCTGCCTCGTGGGACGGGTCGAGCATAAATGGTGGGTGCCCAGCCCCCAACAGAACCACTCAGCCTAGTTTTCCTCTCTCCCTTAGTCCCCAAGGAAACTGTTCTCCCAAATCTTCAGCAGGTGGTAGGAGGTGTCTCATTTTCTAGGAGGAGATGATCCTGCTGGAGCCACCCCTCCTTCCCCTGACTCTCCTCTTACCCTCCATTTAATACCCTTCCTTAGTCTCCCTGCTCCTTTTCCCCAGCATCATCCCATTGATCCTTCTCCCATAGCCAAGGCTATGTGTATCCTGCAATTCTGCACAAACCCAAGAAAGAAGTAGGATTCAGTCTTAGCTTGAGGAGCTCATTCTGAAAACAAACATAGCATTTTTATATTGTGGCCTTTTTGGATCAGATCTTCAATACAATTACTTTTTGTACCAGAAGTCCCAGAATCTCTCCCCAGCACTGCCTCTGGCCAAGCTGCCTGCTTGTATGATTCTGGGAGTCAGGAGTCCAAAAAATTATCTTCCCCAAGCCCCGTTTGGAAGCAATTTCATTACACTCAATCCAAAAAGACTTTCTCTTTCCAAGGCTGAGCTCTGAAAAGACCAATTCTGCATGTATTGTACCAGGACCCACCTATAGACAGTGCTGATTGGCTAGTTCCTGTGATGTCACAAAGCACTTTTATCTTCTCTATTGTGCGTTCAAATAGTTGAAGAACCCATTCTTCATCATGTTTTAATAGTAAACCTATCTTCATCCCTAGGTTTCTCTTTCTGTTATTTTAAAGCAGCCTCTTTAAAGGTTTAAAATATTTTGAAGGTTTAAAATATGCAAACAGTGCTTAATTAAGGTCATATTTGCAGAGGATAGACTTTTGTAAGGGGCTGGGACTTCAGGTACCTTCAGGAATAGATCATTGACTAGCAGAAGCCGAATAAATTACACCACCTAAACATTCATGTTTTACATAATCTTCATGGTGCAGAATTGTGATATTTTTGTGCCTTGCCCATAGCTACCATCCTTGCCAGTTACCTTGCCACCCTTCCTCGTTTTTCCATTTCTCCCTGGTTTATTTGGATTCCCTTTTCCATATGTTAGCATCTTGTGAAACATTACGGACCCATGTTTTGTAGGGCTGGATTTTCCCACTCCCTATATACTCACTGAAATTTGCTGTAACTCCCCAGCATCTCCAGCCCCTAGAAACCTCCTTCCCAAGCCAGCTAGGCCAGACCTGCTCAAAACACAAAGGCTGATTTGAAACCTGTCCTGCATTACCTCCCCAAGGCAAAAGAGAAGTCTGGGTAAGTCCCTTGCTCCCAAGCCCTCTGGAAATCCCCTGGCCACAAAGGAAGCTTGGGAACAGAAGATCTGTTTGCAAAGATATTTAGTACTCTCTCTCTCTCCCCCGGGACCCCTGGAGACACATCATGATATACCCGAGTTACCTCTCTAATTTAATAGTACCTTTTCGAAGGGAAATAGTCCAGAACCCAGAGCTGATGTCACAAGAGAACTAAGTGATGGGACTCCCTAGGGACCACATCCGTGCCGAAGCCCAGAATAACACTAGACGTGAGTAAACAAAGACCCCGAGGATCTTAAGGCAAGGTGTATGCAATTTCCACAGGTCTGAGAGCTACAGCCACTCCCAGATCTTAGAAGGTCCCACCCAACCTAAACTGCTTTTCTTTCTCGGTTTTTTTAATCTGGAAAAAAAAAATTCACCTCCTTCAGTGGCCATTTTAAAAGAGACCAAAAAGGAGATGGCAAAATTGCCTCTCCTGCCCTCCCCTTAAAGGCCACAAAGTGGGCTTTTGAAACTACTTAGAAAAAAACAAAACCAATAAGGGGGAGGAATGCAGGGGGCCAAACAAAGCCCACAGAAAGACTTTGCCTACCTTTATCTCCAAGCATCAGGGGCAGGGAATATGTCCAGAACCTCTTGAGGTGAATGGATCTGCCTGCAGGATGTGTACACTCTGGTTCCACCTGCCTAGCCTTGTCCAGAATACCAGTGTTTCTGACACTGAACACTGGCAGCCGCACCTAGTACGGTATTCTGGACAAGGCTGGGCAGGTGGAACCAGAGTGGGCAGATCCTACTAGCAGATGGAAATGTTTGAGGAGGAAGCGTTCTGCTTTTGAACCCATCTATGCCATATGCCGTTTCCCCCCCCCCCCATGCCCCATTCCCTTGTTTTGTGATGTCCTGGAATCCTAATGTCTCTCATTCTACCCACCTCTCTTTTTCCTAGATCGTGAGTATAGCCGGAGCCCCACCAAGTTGCTGCAGGTTCCGGAGGCTGAGGACAAAGTCAGGCACCGGCATCGGAGATCCAACCCACCGGGGGGCCCCCAATACCAGGGACAGAACCTCTGTGATGGGGGCGGCCAGGAGCCCTCGCCTAGTGGCAGGCACCAGCAGCAGCACCAACAGCAGCAGCTCCCCAAAGCACGCCACTCTAGCCGGCTGCCCCATGGATCCACCAAGGTTCAGGGGGAGGAAGAAGAAGAGGGGGACGCGGGCTGGAGACCCCGGGAGCAAGGGAAGAACACAGAGGGCGGGGGTGAGAGCTGCAAGCTCCTTTCGCCCAGGCCAAACAGGAAATTGCGCTCAGATCTGGTCCCGGGTCCCTGGCTTGTACCCAGTAAGGAGCGCCTGTCCCGGGCTCTGTGGGGAGTCTGCATGGGCCAGGGGGAGGAGGAGGAGCAGAAGGGCGACCCAGGGAGAGGGAAGGGCTTGGAGGTAAAGAGGCGGAGCTAGAACCACCTCCGTGCAGCCACATTGGGAACATCTCAGTGCCTGGGGCAATGGCACTGTCCACCCCCATCTGGACTATGCAGTATCATTTCCCCCTGCCATTCATACTATGCAATGGGAACTTTCATTTTGCTGTTCCCTATCCATGGCTCACATCCATACTATGCAAACTGTACTTTTCACACTCACCTCCCCCTGTCTACTTGTGGCCACCCTCTTTGGAATTGTGCAATAGAGCCGTCCATTCTGCTGCTGCTGTCCTCCCCCACCCTCAGCACCCAATTTGTGAGAAATTTCATCAGACGCCTCTCCAGTAAGAAGATGGGTAAAATGACAAGTCCGCTTACCTCAAAACACAGCTTGATCCTTGTTGTCCATCTTCCTCTACAAGGCAAGGCTGCAGGAGATGAGTGGCAGGGGAGGGATGTGCTAGGCTTCGTTCTTGATTTTATCAAGGCCAGGGTGAGATTCAGTAGGTCTGGCCGGCCCGCCGTTGACACCCACGGAGAGGGTTCCCTTTCACACGCCCAGCATGCTCTCTAACCTACAGGAATTCCCTGGGAAGTTTTTGTCAACACTTCAATCAATGCAGAAAGAGCTCCCTGAAGTTGTGCAGTTTGAAGAGGATCACTCTGTGGATCTCTCTAGTTCTAAAGAACTCGCTGAATGCCAGTGTGCTGTAGCGGTTAGCTAAGTCTGGGAAGGCCCGGGTTCAAATCCCTACTCAGCCATGCGGCCTAGTGGGTGAAATTGGACCAGGCACCTTTTCTCAAACAAACCTACCTCAGGGAATTGTTGCAAGAATAATGAGATGGGGTTAAAGAATGGTACATATGGCCAGGAGCTCCTTGGAGGAAAGATGAGATTGGAAAATGTAAAATATAAATAAACCAACTCTTTCCACATTGACTCATTTACTGAATAGATCTCCTCAGCTTCTCCTCAAGGACCTCTCCATGTTGCAGAAGATTCTGGGGATATATCCTAGGGAAGGGATGAGGTAATGTGTGGCCCTCCAATGGGACTACAGTGCCCATCATCCCTTACCATTCCCCACACCATCTAGGTGTCCCTCCCAAACCGCTTCTAAACATCCGCCCGGCAGACCTGCTCATCCTCTTCCTTCACCATGGACCTTGCCTCTCCACGAGTGCCTCAAGCCATTCCACGGAACTATACACACAGGCTGGTCTTCTCTCTCTCTCTTTCTCTCTCTATTTATTTCTTCTGCAGCTCCCCAGAATACAAGAGTCTTCTCTGCTTTGCTAGTGCCAACCACACATGCATGAATGCTGTCATGTGCAGTGACATAGGCTTGGCATGCCATATGGGACACATATGGTTCAAAAGAGCCATGTGTTTTTGTGCCATGTGCACCCAGACATGCCAACCTAGGTCATGAAAATGGATAAACTACACAGATACTTTGTATTCATAACAAAAAATACAGCTTGTTCTTGGCCGGCAGGCAGGGCATTAAGCTTTTCCCAGCCCCTCACGGGCACAGCATGCTCTTAGTAATGAGCACAGTTGGGCCTACCTTACCCCTTCAGTGCTGAAAATAGCCCATGAGGCATTATTGTTTGCAAGGAATTATGGGAGAAGGAAATGAGCACCCCAACAACTTTTCTTGAGCAGGCGGTGCATGTAATAAACATAAGAGAAAGTTACTCTTTGATTTTCTTGCTACTACGGAAAGAAAGAAAAAGGTTGCTTCATGTCCTACCTACTGCTTTGCTTCTCAGTTATTTCCCTGAAGTATCTGTGCAGACACTTCACAGCATATGCAGGGCTGTGGATCAACCCTGGGGCAATACAGGCAAAAGTTGTGCCTTGTTCCCTCACTTTTGGTCTGAGTTTTCAGCAGGGGGTAGGTAGGTGGGTGGGGAGAATCCTAAGTATTGTATGCTTTGTGCAAACATTAACTGATATGAAATGTGCATGTGTTCACGGGATGCATTTCGATGAACACTTCGGCAGAGCTTGTGCTTTACACAGTTTGCAGGGGGTCACGTCCATTGGTCCATATAAGAGAAACCCATGGGGAGATGCATGCCAAAGACCATGTCATGTTTACGTAAGATGCTGAGTCCAATAGCATTCAGAAGGCCTGGTATTTAGCCAGCCTGCTTGCAGTGCACTGCACCAAGCCCCTCCAAAGCTAGCTACCATGCATTACTGCCACCCAGTCTAAATGCGCAAAGGGGTTCTGAGTTGCAAATCTGCCTCGTATCCAACTGCCTCTTCTCCAGCACATTTATAGAGGCTGGCCATTTCAGAGATGAGGGGAAAGACTCTGCACATGCTCAGAGGCCCCCTGTAACCCACTCACATTTCCAGGTAGCGCACGGCATGGGATTTGGATGCTCCACAGCCCACTGTAGATGAGCCCCACTGGAAATTAAGTACAGTACTGATGTTGGTCCTTCTACTTCTACTGTTGGGTCTTCTGTTGTTCTAGATGGGGAAATGACCTGCTGTAGGGTTAGCCTAACACAACAGGGAGAAGGTCTCCTGTATTTGGAATAACTTGACAGGTGCCACTTGGGGCCTTTTAAGGAGATGAAAATACAGTGGCATGAGAAATTGCTTTAGACTTGCCCGGCAGTGCAGTTAACGGAAATTATTTTTTAAGTAAATAAACACATCTTTTAAAATCTATATATTAAAATATTCTGATTTTTAAAAGCGGTTTCTGTTTGCTTGCTTTTGTTCCTCTCCTGACAATTCACGACTGAATTTGTGAGAATTTTGTTGGGGCTGGGGGGGTGGGGAAACGGCCTCTTCTCCTAGTGAGCTCGCTCTGGTATGCTGCCTGGAATCAAATCAAGTGAGCTGAAGTGGGTTATAAAGTACAGGTAATGAGAAATGTCTTCCTCCCCATCCAACTCCTTTCCCTTGCAAAAGACCGGAAAGGTCATCCTCATTGGGTGCAAGTTGCTACACTGCAAGTGGAGAAGGTGCACTTCCAGCAGGGTTGGGCCAGACTCTCAGAGACAAAGGAAAAGATGGCACCTCCTCCCTGAGGCTGCTTAAACAAAAGGTTTAGCCTGGTGGGTTAAATCATTACTTCAGTACTCATGTGTAACAGCGTCCCCCACTGCGCCTGAGAATAACAGGCTAAATTAGGAAGTGCAAGACAGGTAGCTGCGTGATGCATGCAGTTCTGCTGTCTGATTGATGTAAACCACCAGGGGGCAACCAGTCCCCCCCCATCTCTCACCTGGATAAGTTGCTCCATTCTACCTAACTGGAGGGACAGCCCTAACTACCAGATTTGCATCTGCTGTAGCAACAGTGCAGGACTCCATTCTACCTGTGGGGTTGTGTATTTTCCCCTCTACAGTGGGTTCTAGCAGAAGATACAACAGCCGAGAGTCTTCGCTTCAATTTAAATTTCCAGCTCTCAAGGTTGCAAAGATGATGATCTGTAATGATGTAAGGTGCCTTGAGTCCTTTCTTAGGAGAAAGGCAGAGTAAAAATATTTTAAATAAGTAATTAAGTCTGTGACAATATTTGATCAATGTCAAAAGAGAAACATGAAATTTCTAGTTAATGCCAAGTGAGGAGCACAGTACAACATTTCTAGTTAATGCCAAAGAATGGGAGTTCCCACTGCATGTTCGCCATTGCTCTTTCCCCAGCACCTCTCGCCTCTGCTTCATGGCGGGTTTGGTTCTGAATGAGGGGAAATAAATGGTCTTGGTTGCCCCATCTTTCTGAATGGAAGAAACAACACTGTCTTGACGTTTTATCTTGCAGCTAGCTTGGTTCCTACCTCTATTGAGGTGGTCTGTACTGAAAAAGGGGTGATGATACCGTATCTTGTTAATTACAACAAAGTGGGGTTTATAGTTATACTACAGTAGACTGTATGTGCTAGGCAAGCCAGGAATTTACTCCACAACCTAACCTTGCCATGTGGTATGTGAAACACACACAAGGAACCCAAGCCAGACCATAATAGCAATAACGCAGAGTATAGAGATGCTGGCTGTCATGAAGCAACCACAAAGGTGGTGGCAACAATACAGGGCAGACTGGTTTTTAAATGGTGCAACTCAACAAATTGCTAGCCACCCACAACAGAGAAGATTTCTGGAAGTGTTTTCATACAGTCCAGGTGTTTCCACTGACAGGAATTTTCAATACAATACTTACTTTAAAAGAAAACATTGTCAGCAGACTTCAAGCAGTAAGAAACTAGGATGGTGCTTGTCTTGAGTCAACACATAAGCCCATCTGCATCAGTGTTATCCACACTGATGGACAAAGGTTCTCCAGGGCTTCAGATGGAGACATTTCCTGGTCTTGAGTGAGTCACATCTGAGACTTTTTACCTTGAACACATGTGTTCTTATCCTTGAGCTGCAGATCTTCCTTTTAGTCTCAATGATATCTTAAAAGCATGAATTGCTTTAGGAGCCTTGTGGCGCAGTGGTTAAATCGCTGTACTGCAGCTAAAACTGTGCTCACGACCTGGGGGTCAAATCCCAGGTAGCCGGCTCATGGTTGACTCAGCCTTCTATCCTTCCGAGGTCGGTAAAATGAGTACCCAGCTCGCTGGGGGGGCAATGTGTAGCCTGCATAATTAAATTGTAAACCGCCCAGAGAGTGCTTGAAGCGCAATGGGGTGGTATATAAGCAACACGCTTTGCTTTTGCTTTTGCTGGACAGCTCAGTGGTCTAGGTCTCTGGCTACAGAGCCAGAGGACATGAGTTTGATTCCCCACTGGGCCTTCCATGACAGGGGCCGGACTCTATGATCCACAGGGGTCCCTCTCAGCTCTGCAGTTCTAAGATGATGATGGTGGTGGTGATCACTGATGAATATTTCCACAATGGAAATACCTGTAAAACGTTGCAGACAACATGAGGTTCCAGAATGGTTAGTAGATCCCAGGAAAGGTTCCTTGACATTGGTTTTGTGCAGTTTGGCCTCATCGAGCTGAGTGCTCAGAATCCTCTTCTGAAAAGGAGGAGGTGCTTCAGGAGCTCCAGCCTACAGCAGAGGAAGCCAGGGTTGAAGGAAATGCAGTCAGATCCTGGTAGCTCTAAATAATTACGAGAGCAAGGAGAGTGTTCTGCCCTCTGAGAATGAAGAGAGCACGGTGACTCCAAGCCACAGGCAGCATTGCAGACAAAACAAAACCAAGCACAAGCATGCCATTGAAAGTGTCATGATTACAAATCAAAGGTGTGGGGGAAAGCACCATAAATCTCCCCTTTGAAGCCTTGGTGATTTGGAACAACATGGCTATCAGTTTCCTTGCTTGGATTCTACATCTGTGCTTTGTTCCTGTTCTCCCTTGGCAGCTTGGCTAGAAATATTCCTCTGCTATGACCATGGACTAAAAGGGACTTTGCTACTGGACTTTATCCTGGACTTTCCTCAGCCTTGGCGCTTGCAACCTTCACACGCTCACCCACAACAGGTACAGGCATGACCGCATGTGGGGTGTGATCCCTGATTAAGAGGTCCTCACCATATTTCAGTTAAGGGGGAGAGCCATGTGTCCCAACAACTATAGTTACCTACAACTAGGCCTTCTATCACTCTTCTGAGCCCAGACATATTTCTCTCATTGTCTTAAAAAGAGCTGTGGACAGGCTTCTTTTATAAAGGGGGATATGTGGTCAGCCAGCTCAATCCACAAATTAAATGTTGCTCCTGTGCCATTGTTTGCTTCCTCTGCAACATGCCTGCTGCTTTGTGAAATCAATCAAACAAGTAAACATTTCCAAGAGGAAACTGTCACATGTTGCCAAACGTATATCTGTTGTGAAAGAGGCATCCACCCCTGCCCTTCCCAAAGCCCAGGAGAAAACGCTTCCCTGCTGGTGCAACTGTTTCCAAGACCAAAACATCTAGCTTGCAATATCATTCATTCATTCATTTTTGTTCTTTATCTTATTTATAGGCCGTATTTCTCCCATTCAAGGGACTCAAGGTAGTACAGTACTCACACTATTAAAAAGAATAGAATTAAAACCACAATAAATTATACTAGAGATGAGACACTTATTGCGGTTTGGCGGATTGGGCCCATGGGTGCTGCATGAGTTCCATGGATTCTACGTCCCACCTCCTCCCGTAGATGCCCACCCAGAAGAGGAGGTGGGGCAGAGGAAGCCCACAGTGCTGCTTCTGATGGGGTGCCTGCGGGAAGAGGCAGGGCACAGATTCCCGAGCACTTGCTCAACACCAGATACACCAAACCATGCCCACCTCTAAATTATGCATTAGAAATAATTAAACTATCAAACTGATTAAAATACACTGAATGATTAAAAACATGAAAAATCATAAACTGGTTTATCTAGCATGAATCTTTATAGGTGTCGACCTAAGTTGAGAAACATGCTTGCGTCCAGGAGGATTCCCAGAAAGAGGACTGAGGCTCTACTCGGAAGCTTTTCAGTGCAATGGTTGTTATGGAATACTGTACTGGAAAGGTTCATTTGTGGATAGCAGTTCCCTGAATTCTCCAGGCATGTTGGTGTGGGATTCTGGGAATTGTAGTAAAAAAAGAAAAAACTCCTCCCAGCTCTGTGCATTTCCACCACGACCACAAGGGCCCACTATTTTAAAAGACTATGCCATATGCAACAGAAACAATTTCACAGATTAATTAAACACAGCCTTCCTGTCCTGCCTGAATTCCATTCAAGTCTGTTGGGGGTGGGGAGAGAAATAGAGCTCTTTGTAAAAAATAAGTGTTACAAGCTTTATTTAATTGGTATAATCAGTATCTTTGAATTATCTGAAGAATTTGTCCATAATCTGTGGAAACCAGTTTCAATTGGCGATAGTCATTTATTTATTTATTTATTTATTTATTTA